TCCAGCCCAGTTTCACATATTAGGCCCAGTCAAGACCTGCTCAGAGGCACGCGTTCGGGATAAACCCGGCCCAATAACAACCCAAGATATTTTCTCTCTCAAGTCTCCACACACAAAAGAACAAAAAAAAAAAAAATTTAAAAAAACAACAATGATTCATCCCCTTTTCCTCCCACCCCTTTGACTCTCTCTCTCATTAGTTACATTTTCTTTTTCTTGTTCTTTTTTTTTCCCTACTCTTTCAATCACCACCCGCCACGCAAAGGGGTGAGGGGTGATCCAAAAGGAGTTCCAAGCATTATTCTAAAAGAAAATATCTCTCTCTCCCTCTCTCTCTCTCTCTCTCTCTCTAAATATTCAAAAACTTGCCGTGTTTACGATTGCGAAGTAGCTTCTTGGAGACTTTCAAGTCTCTCAGTCTTCGTCTCCTTCCTCCCATTTTCCCTCTCAATTCTCTCTCTTTTCATAACCATACACATTTCTATATCTACACACACAGATCTCTTTCGTTTTAGTTTTCACCGAAACACATCGATTTTGCTGAAAATTTGAGTTGATAAGATCGTAAAACCCTAAGCAGCTTTTGATTATTTTTTCTAATTGAATTGGATAGAGTTAGGTTGGAATCGATTGATCGGTGAATTATGGTGAAATCGGCCGAGAATAATGGATCTGTGGTACCGCCTTTTCTGTTGAAATGCTATGAGATGGTGGATGATCAGTCCACGGACTCAGTGATTTCGTGGAGTTCTTTGACTGGTGATAGCTTCGTCATATCGGATGTCACCGAGTTTGAAACCGAATTGCTTCCTAAGTACTTCAAGCACAAGAATTTCTCTAGCTTCATTAGGCAACTCAATATCTATGTGAGCTTTCTCTTCCTTGTACTTTTATTTTTGGGCATTTTTATATGGGTTAAAGTTATTGATTGTGATCATGCTCACTTTCAAGTTTCGATTGTCGATTTTTGGTTCTGTAATTGCTTATTGAATGTTATAATTGGGAAATAATGTGGTTTACTGCAAAACTTGTTTTAGGGGGCTTCACTTGCTACATGGTCCCCACGCTTGTAATTAGCCTAGCCATAGGTGGAGATAGAGTCGGTGACAGCTTTCTGGTGACATGTTAATTTGTCTTCTTTTTAGTTGTTATTGGGTGTTTTTGTGTGCTATTAGTTACTTTGTGTTGTAGATAATTCATGAAATTTTGATAATTACTTTGATATTTAGCTCAACAATGGGAGTGTGTGTGACTTGGTATTATATAGTGGAAAGAGATGCAATGTACAAGGTTCATAGTTGCTAATATTAGAATTATTTCTTAGGTTGGGGACATTGATGTGTTGCTAATGTCATGGGAAACTGAAGGAGTAAGGATAGATTTTAAGTTACTTGGTAATGCACCATCTATAATACTTGTTTTGTTATCTTACAACTTGAGAGCTTTCAAGGGTCCTAGACTATTTTTCATATTAAATGTGGGATTGGTCCAAATTACTTCCAAATATATGAAGGAAAACATCTCCATATTACTAGCAAACACCTTATGTGGAAAAGGAATCGGTGGCACAACCTCATAGCGCGGATCTAAATGTTCCAAGTAATTGGTAAGCGTGCACATAGCTGAGGGCAATGTGGTAGATATGTAATGAAATGATTAGGAGTTGCTAATTTTAGTGTTAATCAAATAAGGGAATTGATGTCTTTTCCCCACATCAAATTTGAAGGGACATGGTTGATTTTCGTGCCACAATGCTCAAGGCTTATCCTTTCTGTCAATTTGGACGGAAAGTGTGATGTTTGCATTTCATTCCCAAATCATTTAGCCAAAATCAAATGATGGTGACTTCTCCATTTGTAAAAGTCAGGTACGTAAAGCGGTTAAAGGAAAAATAAATAAATTTAAATAAAAATAAATAAGTATATAAACATATGTAAACTACTAATCAATAGTAGTTTTGCAATTTCATTTTTCTACTATTATGTTATTTCAAACTTAGAACATACACCTACGGAAACCCCAGTCTTTTACCACTTGGGCATGAAGAATAAATTTCACCTTTTCTTTTCCTTTGAAACAACTGAAACATTTTCATTTTCTAGGAAACAAAAACAAAACATTAGTGGGATACCGAAATTCAAGTGTTTTCACCGAAACATATTGAAATGCACCAAAACATATCGAAATAATGAGTTCTTTTGACATCTATTAAGAATATTTAACAATGCTAGTTTCTATTTCCTCTTTTTGCCAAAATAAAATTTGAGAATAAAGAAAAATATTAAATTTATTAGAGAATCTAAGAAACTAAAAAGGAGAAGAGGTGAGATAGAATGGAGTAGATGAAACAAGAATGATTAAGTCATTTGTTCTCTTTCTTTGTTACTGAAAAGTACTTTTTCTTTTTTTTCCCCATCAATATTACTACTAGAATTTTGCATTTAATCTTTTTTTTTCTTACAATGTTCAACCTAATTCCCCACCGAAGCCTTTCAACCTTTTGTATATAAGTTTCTAATATTTATAGACCTCAACATGTTCAATTAATTAATTATTGAGAATCTATTAACATTTATATAGGTTTTAGTTTTTGTTTCTAAACATTTTTCAAACGTTTTCAATTTTTTTTCATTTCTGTTACATTTCTGAAATGATTCCAAAACGTTTCCATCCGAAAAGATTATGAAACATCTTTGTTTCCAAGATAATCGAAACAACATACTGAAATGAATTTTTGATCCTTGCTTGGGCCAACGTTTAATAGATTAAAATACTAATTAGTAATAATTTTAATATCTAGTGAGAGCTCATGCTCCACCAAAACTAATAGAATACATAACATATAAGCAAAACATTTTATCATGATGGACTAAATGCTCAAAAAATATTCAATGAAATACCAAATAATGAGCTCGTTTGGTAAGTTAGTTATTTTAGTTGACTTTATGGTTATTTTAGCCTAGCTAAAAAAGTTGTATTTGGGAAGTTGATTGGCTTTTTTTGTAGTTGATTTGATGGTTGTGAGAGAAAAGTGAAATGATTATGGTTTGGATGTGACATTTTGTCTTATTGGCTATTTTAGCCTATTTTGTCTTTATTGGTTATTTTAGCCAAAAAACACATTGCCAAACAGGGCCAATAAAAGAAAAAGAAGATGAAGGAGAAGAGACCACTGAAGCAGTTAGCTATTCTATAACGCAAGCAAAAATGTAGAATTGCAAGAAAATATAGGAACGACCTTCTTCATAACCTAATTCTTACACGTATTAGAGAGCTTTATCTTTATCACTCCCAAAAAACATTCCAGCTTTTGATCTCAAATTAATTTAAAAGGGATGATATAAAGGAAGAGTTACATAAAAGTTTGTCACATGAAGGGAACATAACTTAAACGTGAAAAACAATGCAATATTTTTGAGTGAAATCAAAGAACCATCAAATACTCTTTGTAAAAGGCAGGTTAAGCCTCATTACGTGAGCTAGTACTGGTTGAAAGCAGTCTATGGAAAATTGTGTACACTCCTATAAACAACTGAACATAATTGAAAATTTTTCCCCCCTGGCTCGTAAGTCATGTTAATCTGTTAGCTGGTAATCGATAATGTGTGTTGTATCTGGTTTATGGAGAACTGGTTGTTTACGGGTGTCTATTTTTAATAAAGTTCTTATCAATTCTCTTAATAAAATAGCAAACTTGCATGAATATCTTACACAAATGAGAAACCACACACACTATAAAACACGTTTTCCATTAATTAGAGCAAATTTAATTGAGTCAAGCCAGGTTTACTTGAACTTGGTTTGATTACTAAATGAGCGAATGTTTGTGGGCGCAGTGAACTTGAATGATCTGAGCTCGAGTGATCGTGAACAACTCGGTTTGTTTGTAGCCTTGGGCATTTCAAAAAAAAAATACTTAATAAAAGCTTTTCAAAAAGCACATTCTCCACTTAGAATGAATACTGGGCAAGCACTTATTGGGTGCAGTAAACTTGCACTTGAGAAAGTGGCCACTTAGAATGAATACTGGGCAAGCACTTATTGGGTGCAGTAAACTTGCACTTGAGAAAGTGGCTAGGAATTTCTTAGCTCAGCTCGGCACCTAATGCAAATAAGACTTCATTTACCACAACTGTAATATGATTACGACCTTTGGTTTCAAGAGCTATTACCTTCCCTTGAATCTTTTTTTTTTTTTTTGATAAATACCTCCCCTTGAATCTTATGAGATTACTAGCATATTTTCTTTTGATGACAATGCTCATATCTGTAGACTGTAGTCATGATATTTTGCAATTGAACATGGAAATAAAATTACCAGCTCTTCTTTTGGCTTTGTTAATGCTAATCAGTTTGTTGCTTTGATAATAAGAAGGTGAATACAATATTGTATTGGCTTTAAGACACAGTTTCAAATGCATTGACTAGTAAAATGCACTCCTCCAGATGACATTTCGCTCTTAAGCAAGTTGATACAACTCTATTTTAGCATTAAATCTGTGACGCCCCAATTCTACACTATAGGTTGCAGTCAAGGGAGAGTCACTAGTGAGTCCTATGGCCAATAACCAAGTAAGATCTCAGATCGCCGGAGGAGTCAAAATAGCCTCCCTTCTAAGTCCAGCTTTCTTAGGCAGCGCACTACCTTTTTGACAGATCTTACAAGGTATTGACACAAGGTCTCACTCCTCCAGATGACATTTCGCTCTAAGCAAGTTGATACAACTCTATTTTAGCATTAAATCTAATCTCTGTCGCAGTTAAAGGACAAAAGGCTTTTGCACTGACCATCGTAACAATATTATATATAAGAAACTCATTCCTCGTTTTGATCCCTTAGAATTCCCTTTTCACATTTTTATCTCATCATGTAAGCCTTTTTATTTTCACGACCGTAATGAGTTCACATCAAATTGTACATTGAATGGCATTAATAAATTCATTCATTATTCAATCCTCTAAATCCCTTGTGTATTGTGAAATATTTTTTATGTAAAATTTGCTTGCCAAAGCTACTCAACAAAACTCATGTAGGAGAGATGTTTTATCAAACAGTTCAAAGACGTTGAAAGTACTATTTCAGAACCTCAAAATTTTCCCATGCAAAACAAAGGAGTGAAATAATAAAATCCGCCAAAAACTGATTCAAAGAATAATTGCTTTCATTGAAAATGTTCCATTGAGAATAGAGAACAGAAGGGGTGTGGAAAGCTAACATTCAATTCTGTTGTTCATGAATGAGAAGAGAGACATTTATACTATTTAGCAAAACAGCATATGGAAGTTGCATCTGCAAGTTATTTTTTGGGTTATGGGAGGTAGAATGTTGTACAAATAAATTATTTTACTGATTTTAAAACTCAATCAAAAAAACATTTGTTTCAGGAAATGTTTTACATCTAAACAAGTAGAGCGTGGTGTTTCAAGATTTTTCTTGGTTGCCAGTTGAAGGAATTTCCATTTAACAAAGCAAATGCTTTTGCTAGCCTCGAACAATCATAGTTGTGTCATGATCATTGTTTTTTTTCTCTTCTTCTATGTTCTATATGAACTCTCTCTTGAATGGAAAGATACTCCATGTGCCGTGGAAATACTAGCCTTTCAGCACATCATCGGCTCATCACAATTTCACTCGTTGATGCCTTTTAAGGTTTTTCTCACTTGGTTGTACTCCTCTTTTGGAGACAAATCGTTTAAAATTCACAATACATAAAAAGGGAGACAAATGTGCCTTTGATAGAGTCGAGGTTGACAATGAAATTATGTATACAAAAGGTATACAAAAGGCAGACGATCAATTTTACATGTTTTGATTATTATATATGACATTTTCTGAAGTTCCATTATGAGCTTATAGATATTTTCCTAAATATGCAGGGCTTCAGAAAAATAGACACTGATCACTGGGAATTTGCGAACGATCAATTTGTCAAAGGCCAAAAGCAGTTGTTGAACAATATCTGTAGAAGGAAACAGTCTCAGGTCATGGCTCAGCGGAAATCATCTCAGCAAAAGGACAAGAGTGTTGGAGCATGTGAGAAATCGTCTGAGCATAAGGACAAGAGTGTTGAAGCACATGAAGAAGACAAGTATGTCAGGTTGTGGAAAGAAGTTGAGAGTCTCAAGACTGGTAAGAACGCTCTCATGCAGGAGCTCATTAAGCTCAGGCAGCACCAGCAGACCTCACAGAGCAAGCTGGTAGTCCTTGGAGAACAACTTAAAGGTATGGAAAAAAATCAACAGCAAATGCTCTCATTTATAGTGATGGCCATGCAAAGTCCTGGGCTTTTGATTAAGCTGCTTCAGCCAAAAGAAAATAATTGGCGAATGGCTGAATCAAACATGAGTGTACTCAAGCGAGTTACGGATGATCACGTAACAGTTCCTTCTGATGGAACAATAGTGAGGTATCAGCCGCCAATGGATCAATCTCCCGAACCACTATGCACGCCAACTTTAGATTCAGAAACATCATTGGAATCAGAGCTTTCTTCCGATGAACTGAGAGATTTTTTTATGAATATTGATTTCCCCTCAGGACTGTTGGATGAAAAATTACTTTCGTCGGAAAGTCACGGGCCGATTTCTCTTCCATATCTGTCTGATGACGACTCTATTTTGGAACAGCTTCTTTTGTCTAGTCCATTGACAGAGAATAAGGAAGAAGATGAGCATGACAATGCAGAACTTGATTCTGGAATGGAAATTGAAGAGATGGAAAGAATGGTGTTTGGGACTCAACAGGGTGAAAACCAAAATTTGGAAATTCTAACTGATCAAATGGGACTTCTAGCTTCTGAATGCGACCTCCAAACACCATAACGTGTTTTACTTTGACAGTGAAGAATATTAGGAAAGTTTCTGAAGCTTTTTGGTACTTCTATAGCCACTATGGCACAACTCATAATCGAAAAAAACATATTTTGACTGCATGACCATGGCTTTATGCGATTGTTATCAGATTGAAGTAAGTTGGTTTTCTTTGTTATTAAAAATGTTTGTGAACTATTCTTTATCCTTGCTGATGGAGATCGGGATTATTGCTTCTTCTGCTTTACTGACGGTTGCTTTGCTTCTTGTGTGCCAGTTTCAGATAAAAGCGCGTGGCGGGATTCTCTCTCTTACATTTGTTTTTGGGGAACAGCATGGTAGTAAGTTTTCATTTTTCTTTTGTGATTTGTAATTTCTCTACAGCTCTTTGAAGAAACTGAATTAAAGGAAGGAGTTCTAAATGCTCTTTGTAATTTCCCTTTTTTCCTTCGAGAAAAAAAAATGTTGCTATATCAGTTGGATAGTTCCTCAGTATTATGGAACTTACGGTACATATATACATGTTCTATGGTTGTTTAGACAGACCTTCTCAACAGTTGTTCCCATATGCCAAGTACAATTGAATTCGTTTTGGGTAAACTTTCCCGCTTCTTGCTGGAAACAAGTTGACATGCTGGATTACTAATCAAATTATATATATATATATATATTGAAAAAAAGAAAGATGAAAAACTAGAAACTTGTGGTTTTATTTGTTATGTGTAAGCTCTCAATTGAAGGGTATTGTTGTACTTGTGAAATGGCTTTTTAGGCATTCACCACAATGTGTGAAATTTTTTGTAGCATATTGTTTAGTACAACAGAATAATCTTATGATATATATATATACTAACGTATGTCCGTGCCATAAGGTACGGTGTAAATAATATTAAGATTAGAAAATAATTGTAATTTTAATACTATTTAAATTTATTTTTTAATTTAATAAAATCACAAATTTATTATGAAATTTTGAAAGTCTCACAAAACTCCTCACGAAAACTCACTTTTGTTTATAATATATAGCTAGATAAACAGATGTGCTTGACATACATATAATTTTCACAGGCATATATATAATATTGCTTTTGCTTATATAATTATATTGAAATTGTATGTGTGTGTTTGATTGGAGGGATAAGAGGGGGGACTATTTACTGTGCGGATTGTAATCCAGGGGAAGCATCCAATCCGTCGTTTGTTTTTTTTTTTAGTCTGGAAATATCAAATGTTGATCATGTAAAGACAATGGAAACGATGTTGGGTTTTATGTAATTGAAATGATATTTTTCTCTTCTCAAAAACTGATTTTGAAAGAAAATGAGGTTTTGCTCTAAAATCATGGGTATGACATGTGTTGGAAAAATATTGAAGAATGATGTTGGTTTTGTAATATCACTCGCGTTTTGATAATGGCGATGGAGGATATTAATGATAATGGTAGAGTTGGATATGTTATATCGCTCACATCTTGGAAATGATAATAATGTATATTGTTATTGAAATTTTCTATTTATTAGAGATATCTATTTTGGGCTATCGGTGAAGGATAACTATGATTGTTGTAGAAATTGTATGAAGTGAATTGAAACTAATTTCTCATCTATTTGTATTGAGTGCTGTCATATCTTTAATACATTTGTAATGTATGATGTTGGGAGAAGAAAGGGGTTGTACTCTATGTTTGGGAGAAGAAAGGGGATGTACTCTATTGAATTAAGTTGGCCCGAGTGTCTAAGGTGAAAGTCCCGAAAACTACGAGTATACACGGGTGCCGATTCTTGCAGACGAAATATCTGTAAAATGGAAAATAGAAGTGTTTGTGTGATGATTGTATTGGTTAGAGACCCACTGAGTTGTACCCTGAGTTTGGTTGTCTGAATAAAATGGAAATGACTCGCAAATGGAGATAAAACGGATCGAGATATAAGTTTGACATAATGTGATTTTGCAAAAGAGTTATATATGACGAGTATTGCATATGCATTCACCTTATACCTTTGTTAAAATTTATATGTTGTGTTAGATTATTTTTACTGGGTTTTGGCTTACCCTATATGGGAAAAATATTTTCAAGTGCTGATAATATGTCTCCGCCAAGGCAATAGCTTGGGAGGACTTGGAGCAAGAGCTTCATTTTTGTTTAATTGTGTATTTGTTTTGTACAAGCCAAGAGCCGTTAAATGTATTACATTTAAATCCATTTTGTTGTAACCAAGTATTGGCTTGGAAAGTTGTAAGCCTTTAGGGCATTCTCTTAATTGTTTATCTTTCATTTTACATTCTTCATCATGTAACATATGCTATAGATTCAGGGTTGGACTTGTGAATGTATATCCACATATGTTGCATTTTTGTACAAGAAACTGAAAGTTAATGAAAGATAATTATTTCATCTTGTGTTGTTGTTCAATTAATACTGTAGACTAGTTATTGTATTTATTTCGGGACGTTACCTTTAATTTTTTGTATTTTGTCTCTCGTAAATAAAATTTTATATATAAGTTTAAAAGTTTTGTTTCAAATATTCTTTTACTATAATATATAGTATAGATAGATTAAAATTGTTGTATTGACAATTAACAATTAAAATTATGCTTTGTTTAAAAAAATGATATAGTTCTAATACTTCATTATTTTAGAATAAAAATATATGAATTTTAAAAAGTTGTTATATTAGTTTTTGTTAAAAACTTAATGAGTAAGAAAGAATTATCGTAACATGTAATGACATGTAATTTAAAATATAAAAAAAAAAGTTAAAAAATGAATAAGATTTTAAAAAGATGTGGTTACAATTAAAATTAATGTCATATTTATTAATGAGTATAATTTTATTTAGATATCTATTTATACTTTAACATGCTTATTTAAAACAAAAATAAAAATAAATAAAAATATTAATAATTTTGAGATTTAAAATATGATTTTGTAGACTTGCTATATTAACTTTTGGAAGGAATATATTTGAATATTTTTACAAAAATTGAATATTAGTCATTGAACAAATCTTATAAGATTTAAAATAAAATTTAAAATAGTAAGAAATTAATGATATTGCAACATTTACATTTTAACAATTTTAAATTTTGGGAAAAAAAATAGATTAGGATTTTGAATTTCAATTATCGTACAACATTTTTATTTATATAATAATATAAATAAGGATAGGTAATTGTTTGATTAAAATTATTTATAATTATAGCTATATTTAAAAATGATATGGTTTTGCATAGCTATATTTTAAATTGCAAAATTTATTTTTTAACTTCCTATATAAAAAAAATTTAAAATTTTGAATTACATATGATTTTTTTCTAAAAACATATGAACTCATAGTAGAGTAGAGAGAAAAGTATCATAAAAGAAGAGAGGAGCTGCACATATTAAAAGGAAATAATTAAATAATTGACTAATACCTTTAACAGTTTTGAAAAAATTAATTAAAATTAATATTTTCTTTTCATAGCTTTAAAAAACTATTATATACATTTGAAGTAATGTTGTGCACTAACTGTCAATTAACACATATCATGATATCAAAAAAATATTAAAGTAATTTTTTTTTAAAGAAGTAATCATATATAAATATAAAATCAATACAAAAAACTTATTAATAATGATTTTGTTTGGATTTTGATTTATCACTTTATAATGAGTGACATATTTTTTATTATACAAATGACTCTATCACGCCATTTTAATATAAAAATTCTGAAAAAAGGTAATCATATATAAATATAAAATCAATACAAAAAACTTATTAATAATGATTTTGTTTGGATTTTGATTTATCACTTTATAATGAGTGACATATTTTTTATTATACAAATGACTCTATCATGCCATTTTAATATAAAAATTCTGGTAAAACAATGTTAACTAACAAAAAATAGTTATAAACAAAAAATAGATAATGGTTGGTATAGAGAAGGGAGAAATGAAACACACAAAATATAAAATTTAAAAAGTGGTCATAGATAAAAAATAAATAATTAAAATAAGAAGCAAAAAAATGGTGTACCTAAAAGATAAAAGAGTCTATTTAAATAATACAATAGATTAAAGAATGAGTTTCATTGTTTCATGAATATAATATTTATAGGACGAGAAAAACATGAATGACTTGGAAAAAAATATAATGTATGATGGCTAGGATTTTTGGATAGAAAAAAGAATTGGTTAGAAAAAAAAAATGCACAAGAATAATTTTTTTTATCTTTCCTTTTCGAAATTATAAATCATGGAATCATTATAAAAAATAATAAATTATGAGATTTAAAAAAAAAATTATATATAGTATAGATATGCTTAAATTTATTTGGGAATAAAATTGTGTTTAATTATGGAATAGAGAGAGAATCTACATATAAGGTTTAATTTTTATTTTATGTTAGGTTTAATTTTATGTTTATATAGATCAGACTAATTATGAAAGATATTAATAATATACATTTTATGGGAGGTGAGAGAGATTCTTTTTCATTAGATTTATTTTAGGAGAGAGAAGATTGTACGAGATTTATATTTTTTTTAACTAAAAGCTTGATTTATTTTGAGAAGGAGTGGGAGATTGAGAATTATGTATTTTTTTTCTTTCTTTCTTTCTTTTTATCGGCAATATATTTGAATTAAATATTTTTGAAGGTTAATATTTATATAAGTGGAATAGCCAATAGATGGTTTAATTTTTTTTTTATAAAAATCAAAAATTCAAAAAATTAGATTTAAGGTTTTGAAACACTTAGGGCCTTTAACATGAAAAGTCACTTTGGTATAATATATAGCATAGATAGATAGATTATGAGATTTAGGAAAGAAATAAATATTATGAGAGAGTTTTTTGGAACTTGTAATTCAATTATTATTTTTTAAATCTATATTTACTTTGTTAGCAAATAATATTATTTTTAAATATTTTCAAAATTACAAAAATTAGCAATTTTAGTTTTTTTTTTAATCTATAGTTATTTTGTTAGCCAATGATACTGTTTTTAAATATTTTTAAAATTACAAAAATTAACAATTGTGGTTTTCGTTTTTTTTAATTTATAATTTATAATTTATTTTTTTTTGGTAATTTGTGTTTTTTTCTTTTAATGTATAGTTACTTTGTTATGAAATGAGATTTAGGAAAGTTAAAAATATTAGAGAGAGAAATTTTAGAAATTTGTAATTCAAAATTTTAAATGTTTTTTTTTTTAATCTATAATTAGTTTGTTGGCGAATAAAATTATTTTTAAATATTTTTAAAATCACAAAAATTAATAATCTGAGATTTCAAAACTTTCACAAACCTTCTCATTAAAAATCTCATTCCCCTTATATAATACATAGATAGATTTGTAGATGGGTTCACCTTCTCCTTCGTAAACTTCACAGAAAAGCAAAGACATTACTTAAAATTCCAATTTTGCCCTTGTAACATAAAACAAAAACATTATCAAAATAAACTCCAAATGCATCTCTCTCATCCTAATCACTACCTACCATTACACTCTACTTTGAACCACCATTCCCTGTGTCCTCCATCCCCAAACACTCCCACATAGTTCCAAAACAACCAATATGCATTTTTTTTAACCTAACACAGTCATGCTACACTCACCTCCACCAACACCAAACGCCTTTCAAACCATCTCCCAATCGCACACGAAACAGAATGCAATAAATGCAAAAAAATCACCACCACAATCGAACACAATTGCCACCACAGCTCACCCAAGTCACCATGGTCTTTGAAACCTGCAACAAGCCCTAATAAACACTCAAATCCACAAACACAAACAAAACCTAATAAACACCGAAATCCACAAACACAAACATAGAATTGAGAGTTCAAACTTACTATTAAGACCCCTAAATTCATGTAACACAACACCAAAATCAAGAGAGAGATAGAAAGAGACAAAAATTGACAATTTCATGGTTATAGGGCATGGGCATCAATGCGACCACCTACCAACCCCATTCTTCACAACGCTTCATTTCACTGTCTGATCACCTATCATACTGCTATGCGCCACCGCTCCAACCTTGATGACTTCTACAACCACCAATAGAACTTAGTAGCTACAAATAATGGGTCTAAGTTCGTGAAGGATGGAGATGAGATGTTGCAATTGCAAGGGTCATTGCAGGGAAAATTGTTGGTGGATTTTGGGTTGTCTCATAGGTATTTGGGGGTTAGAAGGGTGAGATTATAGGGGTGGATGGCGTGGAGGATTGAGGAGCCATGACATGGTAGGAATGGTGGTGGAGGGAATGCATCGGCCATGTGGGGGACTACGATATGACAATTCCATGGAAGGGCTGAGGATTGTTGCGGGTTATCTAGTGAACATGGGGGTGGAGAGATGTTGGAATAAAGGTTTAGGGATGTTGTTGTCGCCAGGGTTGAAAACAAACTGAGTTGAGCCGATTAGTAAATTGCTCAATCTTAACTTAAAAACTTAATAAACTTCAAAATATATTTAAACTTGGCTTGTTTACAAAACGAGTTGATCTCGAACGAGTTTTTAATGAGTCAAACACGAGTTGTGCTCGAATAACTTGATTTTTTTTATAATGTATATAAACTTATCGACCCATGCATTAAGTTGTTTAAGTTTAGTTTAAAAACTTAACGATGTTAAAATTATATTCAAGTTTGACTTATTTACATAACAAGCAGATCTCAAATGAGCTTTTAGTTGAATGCGAGTCGAGTTTAAGTAATTTGATTCGTTTAACAATTCTAATTGTCACATTGCGAGAGAGAGAGAGTATTGAAAAGAACAAGAAGAAGAGAGAGGTTGTAAATGTGTGGGATATAATGGGGTATTATGGTAAATTTACCCTTACATTGGACGGTGTTAGCTGGAAAGAGAGGTCAATGTGTTTTCAGAAAAAATAGGGGGTGCAAGTGTGATTTTAGAGTTATACAGGGGGCTAGTGTAATTTACCATCATAAATTGAGTGAAACCAACTTTTTGTGATTACAAAAATTTACTAAATTTTGTAAATTGTATACAACTTCTTGAAAATAAGTAGACAACAAACGAATTTTTCTTTACAATTTTCAAAATTCTATAAATATACATAGAAAACTATAAATATAAACATTACTAAACAACTGCCAAGTGATCATGGCTTAGCCAATTTAGATTTTTATTTCTTTTTTTTTCTGTATCCTTTTTCACTTTTCTTCATTTTGTTTTGTTTTGTTTTCTTTCTTTTTTTGGTCATAATTCAATCAACATTTTACCAGCCAGGACTAGACCTGTGCTTGCCTCATAAATCTGCTTCAAACATGATTAAAAATAAACCTAACAACAAAGCACACTGAAAGCAGTTCTGGACTTCAATACAAAGCTAGAATAGAATTTATAACTTTGCTAAAAGAGCTATTTATTCAGGCATTCACTTTGTGAGGGGGACTAACTATCCTCTTTGGACAGCCTTGGCCATGCCAAATGCAGCTGCAGATGCAACCGCTCCGATCAACGCTGTTTGCAGTGCACTCTTGATGGGTTTATTTCCGGTGAAGTAACCCTTCGCATAGCCAAAAATTAGCAACGCGATTAGAGTTAAGATTACTGATGCGATCACAGCCTTTCTGGCGATTGGAATGAACATGTATGGGATTAGGGGGACTATTCCACCCACGATGTATGCAATCGCAATCGTGAGCGCGCTGTGTACTGCTCTCCTTGGATCCGGTTTCTCCAATCCCAGCTCAAACCTGCACTTGTCATGGAAAATTTTTGGTTTGGCCACCAGTTTTTTTTTAGCCAATGCAAGCATTAAAACCATTGCTTGTTTTTGGTTTTTCAAAAACACTTTTCAAAAAATTCTATTTTCTTGTTTTTTTTTGTGTGTTTTTTGTTTTATTGAATTTTTTTAATATTTTAAGTAATTTTTTTTAAATTTTTAAACACACCTAACATAAATACACAAAAAGTATAATTTTTGTAAAAAAAATCTTTTAAAAATTCACTAAATACTAAAAATATTTTTAAAAGAATACGAGAATTCAATATATTTTTCATATTTTTATGTATTTATTAATTTTTTAAAATATATTTTCACAAATTTTTTACTTTTTAGATACATCTAAGTAAGATGCATCTAAAAAAGTAAAAAAAAAATATTTAAAATTTTAAAAATATTCACTAAAAACAAAACAACACAAAAAACAAAAAAAAATAATTTTCAAAAAACTTAATCTAAAAAACTCAAATCAAACATACACATTGGAATTGGAAAAACAAGGAACAAATGGAATATGGAAGGAATATTAGGGATACAAATATCAACCATGCTACATCACTCGAAAAAACAGGGCTCGAATGGCACGATTTTTTCTTTTTCTTTTTCCTCTCTTCCTTGAAAAATGCGAGGGAGCTCGAAATTGCAGTGGCTCGAATGCCCAAAGTGCCAAAACGACGTCGTTTTGGCACTTTTTTTTTTCTTTTTTTCTTTTTCCTTCTTCCTCGAAACTGGTTTGAGAGAAAGAGAGAGAAACAAAGAGGCCAGAGAAAGAAATGAGGAAGAGAAGAGAAGCCAAAACTTGATCTTCGGTTGAACCACAACCCAACCCACCGCCATGGACGGAGAGACCGAAGCTTGATCTTCGACTGTGGGGCTGTGGATCTTCAGCTGAATCTTCGCCATGATCTTTTTCTTCTTTCTTGGGTTTGGTTTTGATTTTGGATTTGATTTTTTTTTTCGATCTCAAACTTTGACAAGGTTGTCTCTGAACAACAACCTTCAAAGAACAATTTCTACATAGCCTTTCTCTTGTTTTCAAACTCACTCACTCACTCTCTCTCTCTCTCTCTCTCTCTCTTAAATTCTCTATGTTTCTCTTGTTTTCATCTCTTTCTGCTTCAATTCTTTCAAACCCATGTCAAAACTCAAACCCAATTCAAATAACACATGTTTTAGATAGATAAGAAGAAAAATAAGTGGAATAATAGGTGCTAAAATTTGGGTTTTCAAATAACCCATGTCAAAACTTTTCCAACATGCTGGTATGTTGTTGTTGAAGAAAGGTTGGAACTTCACGAAACGGATGGGTGGGTTGGGAGGCTGCCAGTGTAGAGGAGGAAGGTTGGAAATTCTGTGACTTGGTCATGTTTGAAAAAGAGAGAGAGAGGAAACTGTGTAAAAGGCAAAAACTGTTGTGTGTTTGAGAGGGAGGGGCAAAGAAGAACAACTGTGCTACGTCGCTCGAAAAAATCGGGCTCGAATGGCCTGAAATTTTTTTTTTTTTTTTCCTTTCTCTTCCTTGCCCCTCTTTCTCAAACATACAACAGTTTTTGCCTGTTACACAGTTTCCCCCCTCTCTCTTTCTCTCTCTCTCTCTCTCACTCAAACATGACCCAGTCACAGAATTTCCAACCTTCCTCCTCTGCACTGGCAGCCTCCCAACCCACCCATCCGTTTCGTGAAGTTCCAACCTTTCTCTAACAACAACATACCAGCACGTTGGAAAAGTTTTGACATGGGTTATTTGAATTGGGTTTGAGTTTTGACAATATACCAACATGTTTTAACTATTAATATGGGTTTGAAAAAAATTGGGTTTGAGTTTTGACATGGGTTATTTGAAAACCCAAATTCTAGCACCTATTATTCCACTTATTTTTCTTATTGTCTATCTAAAACAAGTGTCATATGAATTGGGTTTGAGTTTTGACATGGGTTTGAAAGAATTGAAGCAGAAAAAGATAAAAACAAGAGAAACAGAGAGAATTTAAGAGAGAGAGAGAGAGAGAGAGAAAGAGAGAGAGTTTGAAAACAAGAGAAAGGTTGTTGGAAGGTCGTTGTGAAAACAAGAGAAAGGCTGTGTGGAAATTGTTCTTCGAAGGTTGTTCATAGACAACCTTGTCAAAGTTTGAGATCGAAAAAAAGAATCAAAATCAAATCCAAAATTAAAACCAAACCTACAGAATCAAAATCAAAATCAAACAAAATCAAAACAGCCACAACCGTCTCTCTCTCTCTCTCTCTCTCTCTCTCTCTCTCTCTCTCTCTCTCTCCTCAAACCCAAGGAAGAAAAAGAGGAGATCAAAAAAATAATGGTTTAGCCGAAGATCTACAGCCAAAATCAGCACACAAAAAATCAACACAGTTTGTAAAATCAAAATCAAAATCAAAATCACAGTTTGCAAAATAACCCAAAAAATCACAAAAAAAATAAAAATAAAAATCAAAGCAAAATCAAAACAATTGAGCCGAAGATCAAGCTTCGGCCTCCCCGTCCATGGTAGATCAAGCTTCGGCTTCTCTTCTCTTCCTCATTCTCTCATTCTCTCGCCTATCTGTTTCTCTCTCGCCTCTCTCTTCCTCTCCTCTCTGTTTCTCTCTCGCATATCTCTTTCTCTCAAACCAGTTCAAGAAAGAAGGAAAAAGAAAAATATATATAGAGAGAGAGTGTGTGTGAAAATGGCGTCGTTTTGACACTAAAAAAAGGAAAAAAAAACTGGTGACCAAACCAAAAATTTTCCATGACAAGTGCAGGTTTGAGCTGGGATTGGAGAAACCGGATCCAAGGAGAGCAGTACACCGCGATTGCATACATCGTAGGTGGAATAGTCCCCCTAATCCCATACATGTTCATTCCAATCGCGAGAAAGGCTGTGATCGCATCAGTAATTTTAACTCTATTCGCATTGCTAATTTTTGGCTAAGTGAAGGGTTACTTCACTGGAAATAAACCCATCAAGAGTGCGCTGCAAACAGCGTTGATCGGAGCGGTTGCATCTGCAGCTGCATTTGGCATGGCCAAGGCTGTCCAAGGAGGATAGTTAGTCCCCCTCACAAAGTGAATGCCTGAATAAATAGCTCTTTTAGCGAAGTTTTGAATTCTATCCTAGCTTTGTATTGAAATCCAGAACTGCTTTCAGTGTGATTTGTTGTTAGGTTTATTTTTAATCATGTTTGAAGCAGATTTTAAAATATATAAATGAGAAGGAATTGAAAGAAACCACTAGTATGCCTTAAGAACTGAATTAATATATAAATGGTTTCTTTCAATTCCTTCTCATTTATATATTTTAAAATCTGCTTCAAACATGATTAAAAATAAACCTAACAACAAATCACACTGAAAGCAGTTCTGGATTTCAATACAAAGCTAGAATAGAATTCAAAACTTCGCTAAAAGAGCTATTTATTCAGGCATTCACTTTGTGAGGGGGACTAACTATCCTCTTTGGACAGCCTTGGCCATGCCAAATGCAGCTGCAGATGCAACCGCTCCGATCAACGCTGTTTGCAGCGCACTCTTGATGGGTTTATTTCCAGTGAAGTAACCCTTCACTTAGCCAAAAATTAGCAATGCGAATAGAGTTAAAATTACTGATGCGATCACAGCCTTTCTGGCGATTGGAATGAACATGTATGGGATTAGGGGGACTATTCCACCTACGATGTATGCAATCGCAATCGTGAGCGCGCTGTGTACTGCTCTCCTTGGATCCGGTTTCTCCAATCCCAGCTCAAACCTGCACTTGTCATGGAAAATTTTTGGTATGGTCACCAGTTTTTTTTTAGTCAATGCAAGCATTAAAACCATTGCTTGTTTTTGGTTTTTCAAAAACACTTTTCAAAAAATTCTATTTTCTTTTTTTTTTTTGTGTTTTTTTTTATTGAAATTTTTTTAATATTTTAAGTAATTTTTTTTAAAATTTTAAACACACCTAACATAAATACACAAAAAGTATAATTTTTGTAAAAAAAATCTTTTAAAAATTCACTAATTACTAAAAATATTTTTTAAAAAAATACGAGAATTCAATATATTTTTCATATTTTTATGTATTTATTAATTTTTTAAAATATACTTTCACAAATTTTTTACTTTTTAAATACATCTAAGTAAGATCCATCTAAAAAAGTTAAAAAAAAATACTTAAAATTTTAAAAATATTCACTAAAAACAAAACAATACGAAAAATAAAAAATTTAATTTTCAAAAAACTTAATCTAAAAACCTCAAATCAAACATACACATTGGAATTGGAAAAACAGGAACAAATGGAATATGGAAGGAATATTAGGGATACAAATATCAACCATGCTACATCACTCGAAAAAACAGGGCTCGAATGGCACGATTTTTTTTTCTTTTTCTTTTTCCTCTCTCTTCCTTGAAAAATGCGTGGGAGCTCGAAATTACAGTGTTTTTTTATTATATTTTTTTTTTTTTTTTTTTTTTTTTTTTTTTTTCTTTTTCCTTCTTCCTCGAAACTGGTTTGAGAGAAAGAGAGAGAAACAAAGAGGCCAGAGAAAGAAAGGAGGAAGAGAAGAGAAGCCCAAACTTGATCTTCGGTTGAACCACAACCCAACCCACCGCCATGGACGGAGAGACCGAAGCTTGATCTTCGACTGTGGGGCTGTGGATCTTCAGCTGAATCTTCGCCACGATCTTCTTCTTCTTCCTTGGGTTTGGTTTTGATTTTGGATTTGATTTTTTTTTTTCGATCTCAAACTTTGACAAGGTTGTCTCTGAGCAACAACCTTCAAAGAACAATTTCTACATAACCTTTCTCTTGTTTTCAAACTCACTCTCTCTCTCTCTCTCTTAAATATGTTTCTCTTGTTTTCATCTCTTTCTGCTTCAATTCTTTCAAACCCATGTCAAAACTCAAACCCAATTCGAATAACACATGTTTTAGATAGACAAGAAGAAAAATAAGTGGAATAATAGGTGCTAAAATTTGGGTTTTCAAATAACCCATGTCAAAACTCAAACCCAATTTTTTCAAACCCATATCAATAGTTAAAACACGCTGGTATGTTGTCAAAACTCAAACCCAATTCAAATAACCCATGTCATAACTTTTCCAACATGCTGGTATGTTGTTGTTGAAGAAAGGTTGGAACTTCACGGAACGGATAGGTGGGTTGGGAGGCTGCCAGTGTAGAGGAGGAAGGTTGGAAATTCTGTGACTTGGTCATGTTTGAAAAAGAGAGAGAGAGAGGAAACTGTGTAAAAGGAAAAACTGTTGTGTGTTTGAGAGAGAGGGGCAAAGAAGAGCAACCGTGCTACGTCGCTCGAAAAAACAGGGCTCGAATGGCCTGAATTTTTTTTTTCCTTTCTCTTTCTTGCCCCTCTTTCTCAAACACACAACAGTTTTTGCCTTTTACACAGTTTCCCCCCTCTCTCTTTCTCTCTCCCTCTCTCAAACATGACCCAGTCACAGAATTTCCAACCTTCCTTCTCTGCACTGGCAGCCTCCCAACCCATCCATCCGTTTCGTGAAGTTCCAAACTTTCTCTAACAACAGCATACCAGCACGTTGGAAAAGTTTTGAAATGGGTTATTTGAATTGGGTTTGAGTTTTGACAATATACCAACATGTTTTAACTATTAATATGGGTTTGAAAAAAATTGGGTTTGAGTTTTGACATGGGTTATTTGAAAACCCAAATTCTAGCACCTATTGTTCCACTTATTTTTCTTATTGTCTATCTAAAACAAGTGTCATATGAATTGGGTTTGAGTTTTGACATGGGTTTGAAAGAATTGAAGCAGAAAAAGATAAAAACAAGAGAAACAGAGAGAATTTAAGAGAGAGAGAGAGAGAGAGAGAAAGAGAGAGAGTTTGAAAACAAGAGAAAGGTTGTTGGAAGGTCGTTGTGAAAACAAGAGAAAGGCTGTGTGGAAATTGTTCTTCGAAGGTTGTTGTTCATAGACAACCTTGTCAAAGTTTGAGATCAAAAAAAAAAAAATCCAAAATCAAAACCAAACCCAAGGAAGAAGAAGAAGATCATGGCGAAGATTCAGCCGAATATCCACAGCCCCAAAGCCGAAGATCAAGCTTCGGTCTCTCCGTCCATAGCGGTGGGTTGGGTAGTGGTTCAACCGAAGATCAAGTTCCAGCTTCTCCTCTCTTTCTCTAGCCTCTTTGTTTCTCTCTCTTTCTCTCATACTAGTTTCTCGAAAAATAAAAATAAAAAAAAAACATTTTGGCACTCAGGGCATTCAAGCCGCTGCAATTTCGAGCTCCTATGCATTTCTCTACAAATATATAGCAGATGATGCAGAATTTTAGCCCAAAACAAAGAGGAAAGTTGGAAAGGAGAAATGAGAAACAAAGGTGACAAATTTGGTACATGGTGGGTAACCCATTGAGTTACAATGTTTTTTGTTTTTTTGTTTTAATAAGAAAATATTAAAATCAATTTATTGCTTCAGAATTGTCAACTCTATATGCATTTTATCAGAGCATACAATTGAGGCCTATATCACTGATTGAAATTTCTACTTCATAGTACCTGAAGGAAATTAGGTATAAAATTGTATAGCAACAATTATTGCTGTACACTTCGATTTAGAAAGTAAATGGCTAAGATAACCAAAATAGGAATCATTGTTGGGAAATACATAGTGGGCACGTGAGTCTAGCTAAACATATCTGAAGTTTTCTCCAACTGGTGATAAATCAAATCATTTTCCTTAACTTATTAGTGTTTTGGAAATAATTTTTGATAACTACAATAGAAAATTAATAATTTTTTTGGTACATCAAATGTTTTAGCCTATGATGGTGGAGACTATACCTAAATTATACTATGTTTGGATTGGATAATTTAGGAAGAAAACAAAATAAATGTATGTTTCTTGATTCATATCACCGGATTAGATTAGTAAAGAAGACAAAAATGAGAAGAAATTGGAAGAAACCATTTATCTTATAATTCTTACTTTAATTCTCTTCAAAAGTGAACGGATTAGAAGACAGAAAAAACCATCAAATTACTATTATGTTATTATATTACTACAATTGACCCATTAGATATAAGCCCTTTTAGTATCACTTATAAGTAAATTTTTATCATTATAGCTTTCTAGATTGTTTGTTTAAAAGATTTAAAAAAAGTTAAAAATTTGTTTGGAGCAACTTTTTATGATCTGTTAAAAAATATATTAAAAAAAAAAACTTGAACTTGTCTAGTTAAATAAACATTGCTTCTTTTTTTTTTAATAGTGCGATATCCAATTTACTTTTAAAAGTTAAAACTAAGCTGGAAAAGATGTGTCTTTTTATCCATATGTATTTAAGCATTATAAATAAGAATGATGTTTGGAACCCCTTTTGGGGAGACTTCCATCACTCCCACAGTGATATAGACCAATGATATGTTTGTATTTTTTTTTTCTTCTCTTTCTTATTTGGATCAATCATAAGTGAGTGGGGGTTGTGGAGGTGATATTTTGTAGGAGTTTGAATCATTACTGTATAAATAAATTGATTTATAAGTACTATCAAATGGGGTCATGAAAAAATTAACACTTAAAAAATATACTCTTAAAAGTTAAAATTAAGTTGAAAAAGATGTGTCTTTTTATCCATACGTATTTAAGCATCATAAATAAATTGATTTATAAGTGCTACTAAATGAGACCATGAAAAAATTAACACTTATGACAAGTTATTTTCATTGTATAATAGAAAATAATTTCTTCATTTTTTGAATCTAGTTTAACCAAATAAAATTGCAGAAAAATGATTCCAGCCAAAAAAGAGGGAGAGAAAACAGAGAGTGTCTCCCATATTTATTTATTTATTATTATTTTTTTAATAAAAAAAAAAGAGATATTCATAGTATCCTGTTTTGAGGGGATATCATAGTATATGTGGGTCAAAACCTTGGGATTGTCAACCAAATTTAACCAAATTCATAAAAAAAAATCCACTACTGAAATAATTAATAGACCTCATTGACACACTACAGAAGAGATAAGTAACAATCGATATACAACAATCATAACTATAGAGAGAGAGAGAGAGAGAGAGAGAGAGAGAGAGAGAAAAAGTCAAAAAGTTAACCCAAACATCCATATTTTCAACCTTAATTTTTTAGTCCAAAAAGACAAAAAATACATTTTTATAGTCTTCCCAAACTTGACCTAAGTCTGAGTCGGTTAAACCAAATAAAATTTCAATCCATTTCTTACTTATTCTTGGTCATTCTAAAAATAGAAAATTATATTGAAATGTCCTTTCAATATTTTCGGCAAAGTTTGTTTTTTTTGTTTTGTTTTTTTCTTTTATCAAAAAAATCAATGGTGTGCGCCCCATTGGATGCATATTATATGTATCTTACCATAAATTAGTATAATTTTATTATAAAATTTTGTAACATTAATCACAAAATAAATAACTTCACTACAAATTGACATAACAAAAATATCGTAACCAAATCACAAACTTTTTTTGTTTCATGAATCACAAAATTTTGAATATTTTATTATGCTAATTTATGACGAAATTATGCATTTTATGATTAATATTAAAAAAATTTGTGATAAAATTACACCAACTTATAATAGAATGCATATGGTCTATACTCTATCCACACCATAGACTTTTTCTTCTCCTCTTTTTTATTATATGATTTGGGCTAGATACTTTTGTAACTTAAAAGCTCATTTGGAAATTCATTTCACTTCTTTGAATAAATAAGAAAAATGTTTCATCTCTTCAATTTTTTTTTCTCCAAACTTCATTTTACTCCACATCCTTGGGGGAGTTTGAAAAAAAAAATAAAAAATAAAAATTAAAGAATGTAGCATTGCTCGTAAATATGTATAATAAAATATAATAAAAAAAGTAAAATGCAAGAAATTGGGAGAAATCATTTTTTTTTAAATACTTATTTTCAATCTTTCCAAAAAGTGAAAAGATTGTAAGAGGGAAAAAAAACTATAACGAAATATTATTTTGTTATAATATCAAAATTATCCTTTTTAGGTATGGCACAATAAAAAGATTGCCTCCTATAAAAAGTTAATTCCATATATAACATGATATCATTTCATTTCATAATAAGATACAAGAGAAATCTTCACTTTTTTTTTTTCCCCCCAACTTACATAATCATTTCTTCCTCTCTTTTATCGCTCTCCTAGGAGCATCTTCAACACTTCACTAATTTTTTCATCCAAATTTATTTTAAATTTCAGTAAAAAAAAAGTTAATTTGATATGAACTAATTTAATCATTGCATCAAATTATTATTAAAATCTTTTTTAAAATTCGTCTCTTATACCGAATTTAACTTTTTATTAAATTTGATATAAAAAATAAAATTGTCTTTAATGTTTCATCTTTTAAATTTTCATTAAAATTTAAATTTGATGAAAAAAAAAAAAAACTATTCTCTCTTAATTTGATGAATATTTAATGAAAGAATTGTAGATAATTTTTAAATAAATTAAAATTAAAATTTGATTAAAGAAAAAGTGAAATTAAAAAGATTCCAAGTCAGAAATAGAGTGTAAAGAAAGTGTGGAGAAGTTAAAATTGGAGAATGGAAAGAAGAAAAGAAGGAAAACTTACTTCATCATGAAATCAAGCCAAGCCTGGGGATTCTTCTTGAGAGCATTGACCACGGGTCTATACTCATGCTCCTCTATCCCGTATTCTGCCAGTATCTCCGCTACCTCCGCTGCCTCTGCACATGCATGCATTTCTCTCCACATTCGTCATCCCGATCCCCATACCAATACCAATACCAATACCAATACCATACATGCATACTCATACGCACCTGTATCAGGGACGGTCACGATCTCTTGCTGCTCTCTCCTCAGCTCCCTCACGTAGTGATCTGCCTCGCTCTTTGCCGCCAGATACCTGCACAATTTGACGAGATCTTTGATTAGAGGATTTGAGGACGAAAATAGAAATAGAAATGAAAAGGCGAATAACAAGAAAAAGAGAAATAATTAATAAGATTTGAATTTGAAGTTACGTTTGATTGAGTTGAGAAATAAATAAAATAAAATAAAAATAAAAAAAAGTTTAACGACGTGTTTAGTTTATAAATTTAAAAAGAAATTTAAAAAGATAAAAAATAAAAATATATAAAATGTAAAAGAAATATAACTATATTTTACACTTTTTTTTTCTTTCTATTGTCAAATCTCTTTATAAATTTATAAATCAAACACAATCTAACTTACTCAAAAAATAAAATAAAATAAAATAAAAATAAAAAATTCATTTTATTCTCACTTTCTTTTTCTTTATATTTTTTTATTATAACTAAAAAAAATTAAAAAAAAAAGAAAAAGAAAAGTGTGAGTGCATTTTTTCCTTTCTATTTCTTTATCAAGCACTTTCATCAAAAGGCAGATCCTCTGCATCACAGACTCATCATCATGACAATTCTTCAACATTTTGGCTAAAATAGAAGAGAAATGAGTGTTAACGATACCCGCCGAGTCCCATGGAGATGGCGCCGGCGGCCACCTCGGCGATGCCGGCGGTAAGTATGATGGAGGAGGAAGCGTTGGCACCGGAGAGACCGGCGGCGAGAGCGAAGGGGACGGTGAGGCCATCAGAGACACCGATGATGATATCGCGGACGATCTCGCCGGCCGTGAAGTGCTTCTCGGCGTGTTGCTTCAGAAGCAACTTCTCTGATTCTGCGGTCCGATGATTTTCCGCCATTGAATCGATCGCACCAATTGAAGATGAACAAACACAGACTAAATTTCCAAAGCCTTTATTTATTTATTATTATTATTAATTTTTTTTCTGTGAGAGTCTGGAAGAGTTTTTGGTATTTGGAAGGAGGAAGATGAGAGAGGAGTCTGAAGCTAAGCGCTATACTTAAACAAGGGGGGAACCGGTGTGTGGATGTATATTATGCGTGATGTGGTATATATATTAATTAATATATTAGTTAATGTGTTAATATTAATTATGATACTATTATTGATTTCATTTATTTATAAATTATAAATATAAAAAATTATTAAATTATATCACATTATCAATTGATACACTAATTAATACATATAATATCACTCTATTACAATAGATTGGGGGTTTGCTGTCATGTTTGGGAGAAGTTTTTATTTTTTTTTTATTTTTTAAGGTAAAAGATTTTTTATTAACTGTTGTTATTAACACACCATCAATTACTCATTACTTGTGTTCTTCTGATCCTATCAAATTTTTTACAACCCATCAACTTCTATGCCATATCTATCTATATATATTAAGAAAAAAGGATTTTCAAATATGAGGCGGTGAGAATTCTAAATTCTCAAATTAAAATTCTTCAATTTCTATTGACTCATACTTTTTTTATTCAAAAATATATATATATAATTAACCAACCAGATAAATCCAAATAAATCTTAGCATATATCATATAATTATTTACAATGATCCTACACATACTAATTAATAAGAGAAATTACCCATAAATCCCATTGGGGAGAAAGTTGTACAATTTGGTCCTAGAACTTTTCTTTCAATCCAATTAGTCCTTTTCATTTTTGGTATATTATATTTATCTCATTTGGGGGTTTGGAGTTTACTTAATTGCCCTTTTAAGTGATGTTGTTTGAATTTTTTTGGTGATGTTGCCTTTGTAGGGATATGGTATGTTACATACAGTGCTAATTTTGTGGGATTTTGTTGGACTGATTAGTGGGTATTGATGATGTTGTTATGGTCGTCTGGTATTTTTTGATTTGGGAGGACTGTATTTTCAATTATTTTCGATCACTGGAGTTTTAGGTTTGTCATTTTCATTGCCGTTGCTACTGCGTGGGAGAGGTTTCAAGTGCTCTGGTTTTTTGTGTGGTAAGTTTTCCTTGTCCTGTAATTTTGTATTCAATTTTTGTTGATTAGTGTTTCATTTCCTTGGGGAAGGGTTGGTGTTGTTAACATTACGGGTGTGGGGTTGTGTGTGGGGTGATGTTTTGTTCTGTCTATTGATGGGGTTCCTTTTGGGAGGGGTTCTTGTGTCAACATTACGGCCGTGCGGTTGTGTGTGGGGTGAGGTTTTGTTTTGTCTCATTGATGGGCCTTGTGTATGGGGCTGTTTTTCTAGTGAGGTTTCAACTACTCTGTTTTTTTGTATGGTAAGTTTTCCTTGTCCTATAATTTTGTATTCAATTTTTGTTGATTAGTGTTTCATTTCCTTGTTGGAGGGGTTGTGTTGTTAACATTACGGGCTAGGAAGCACGGATACGGGTACGATACGATACAGATACGGCGATATGACAAAATTTGAAAAAGTAGGATACAGATACGGCGGAGATATGTTCATAAAAAAATATTATTTTTACAATTTTTAGTAATTTAGCATATATAAAAATAAAACTTCAACAATTTTTAGTAATGTAGCATACATAAAATAATATAGCATCACCCATAACAACCATAATGCAATTCAAATTAAGGGGGAAAAAATTTACAAAGTTCATTTATTTATCAATAAGTTTATTTATTTGTTGATGGCCAAGATTAAGTTTACAAAGTTTATTAATAAGTTTATTTATTTATTTATTAATAAGTTTTTTTTACCTTATTTGATTTATTAATAAGTTTACAAAGTTTATAATTTTATAAGTTTACAAAGTTTATTAATAAGTTTATTTATTTATTTATTAATAAGTTTTTTTTACCTTATTTGATTTATTTTGTTTTATCAGGTAATACCGAATACATACAAAGTTTTTTTTTTTAATATCTTATTTGATTTATTTTATTTTATTTACAGAGTATACATACAAAAAATAAAAAACAAAAATAAATATGTGACTGCAAAGACAGACGATATAGAATAAAGGGAGAGGGAGAGAGAGAGATCGACCGAGAGGGAGGGGAGATGAGATCGAGATCTGTCCATCTCCACCCAAACCAGACAGATCGAGCGAGAGGGAGAGGGAAAGATAGAGAGAGTGAGATCGAGCGAGAGGCAGACAGAGAGGGAGCAAAAGGGAGAAAGAGAGGGACGAACCTGATCGACGACCGTGGAGCTGCTGTTCGCGAATTGATCGACGACCGTCAAGCTGCTGTTCGAGACGAGAGACGACGACGAACTTCTCCTCCTTCGTGGCTGGCTGCTGTTCGACCTAGGTCTAGGTAAGTTGGGTTGATTATTATTTTTTTTTTTTGTGTGTGTTTTATTTTATCTTATTTTAATATTTTATACTTTGACCCCATTTTAAGTTTTTGAAATTATTTTTTTACCCCGCCGTATCCCGAAAGTATCCCTACTGTATCCCGACCGTATCCTCGCGTATCCTAGACGTATCCGAAATTCAAAAATTTTAAAAAAAAAAAATTGGATACTTTTTTCCCGTATCTGATACGTACCCCGCCGTATCGGGTGCGTATCTATATCCGATACGTATCTGATACGCGTATGGGGACCATTTTGGAGTATCCGTGCCTCATAGATTACGGTCGTGGGGTTGTGTGTGGGGTGATGTTTTGTTTTGTCTCATTGATGGGGTTCCTTTATGAGGCTATTTTTCTGGTTCCTAATATTGGTGTTGTTTATGTTATATGTGTTTCTATATGCAGGTATGGAGGGTATGTTGTTTCTAATGTGCACGTACAGACAGAGTAACGCGGTTGTTCGTATTCATGATGCTTTTACGTTTGCTGGGTTGGTCGATGTTGTTTGTGGGAAGTTTGGTATTTCATCGCCGGCATTGGTGTTTTTTTCGTTCGTCATCCCTAGTTACAATAAATTCAAGGTTGATTGTGACGACGATGTTCATAACATGGTACGCCTTGCAAAGTCATTTGGTCTTCATCATGTTGATGTGCTAATCCAGACACGAAATAGTGGGTCCAATATTGAAGAAGGGGTTGCGGATTGTAATAGTGTTGATGCGTTTGACATTGACGATAGGCTAACCTATGGCATGGAAGACCGAACCGATTTGTTGCCGTTATACTGTCCTCACAACTCCAAGACATTTCTTTTTGTTGGATGGGCATATGGTATTACTCATGTTGGTCAAATTTTTTTGGCTGGTGCTAACGAAATTTCGGACGATCTTATGCAAGCTTGCCGTCGAATGTGGGTTTCAATTATGTCAAGAATGACTCGGTGCAGATCACAGCTGTGTGCAAGTTCGCCACATCAATTGGGTGTGCATGGTTGGTACACGCAAGGGTGTCGGCGTCTAATGGGGTGTTTTGCTTGAAGAGGTTTGTAAATGTACATTCGTGTGGTGCTGCGGTACGCACGTACAGGAACCTGCGTACTTAGTCCGATTTGGTGTCAGATGTCATTGCGGATCGCGTACGCAAACAACCACTCACCTGCCCTACGGCCGTTGTGTTTGGCATGAAAAACGACTTTGGACTGGACATTAGTTACCGGGTTGCATGGTTGGGCATTGAGAAAGCTAGGGGTGAAGTGTATGAAGACTATGCTATGTCATTTGACCAACTTAGGTAGTATAATAACGTTGTCATTGAGAACAACCCACGAAGTTACATCAACCTGGATTTTGATCAACAAACTGGCAGGTTCGTACACTATTTTGTTTCATTTCGTCCATGCATTGATGGATTCAAGCATTGCTACCCACTCTTGTTTCTCGATGGTACGTTTCTGAAGGGGAGGTTTAAGGGCAATATGCTCGCGGCTACCGCTAAGGATGGCAATCAAGGTATGGGTTAAACATCAACAAAATGTTGCTACCGTTTTACCAAATTCATACGACTCTTGCGTCATTTGTTTATTGTATATAAAATATATTTCATTGGTCTCATTTCATGTTAGGATGTATGCTTTGTTATTCAACTAACATGCATTTCTTCACTTTCAATTTCGTCAAGTTTGTTTCCTGTTGCTTTTGCCATTGTTGATTCCGAAAATGCATGTAACTGGGAGTGGTTCTTGTGGCAGTTATCGGAAATTGTAGACGGGGACAGGACGTTGACCTTCATAGCTGACTGCAACGTTGGTCTACTTCAAGCTATGCCTACTGTTTTCCCATCGTCTCATGACGCATTTTGCTTGTTACATCTTCAAATGAATTTGAGGGATCGAATGAAATATGTTAGCGCGGAGAAAAAAATAGGCCTCATGCGTAAGTTACGAGAATGCGCATATGCACCTACAATTTCGTGCTTCAATCACAAGATCGAAATATTAAAACAGTGTAGCCCAGTTGTAGTTGGCAATTTTTTAAAAGATTTGGACCCGAAACATTGGGCAAATGCATATTTCAGGTATCGTACGGTCAATGTAATTTCCAACATTTAAAAAATAAATGTTTGTTTGATTAACACTTGACCTATCTTTCCCTTGTGCAGTGGTTGCAGATATGGTGAGATGTGTTCCAACGCTGCGGAGTTGTTCAACAATTGGATACGCACAGCTCGTCATCTCCCCATCATGTAGTTGGTGGATGCCATACGGGGTCAACTCATGGAACAAATGACAAAACGTAAAGCTAAATGCAGCATATGGCGTGGGGAGTTGTGCCCGAAGATGGCAACAATTTTGGAATTGGCGTTCAAAACTAGTAGATCTTGGATCATTAGTCAAGCAGATGAAAATGTGTTCGAGGTTCGATCACGGCCATCGGTTTTGGTTGACATTGGTGCACGTACATGTTATTGTTTTCAATGGCAACTGAATGGGTTCCCATGTCCACATGCGGTCGTGGCTTTCCGAAATAATGGAAGAAACATTTACGACCACGTCGTTCCGCTTTACCATGTAACAGAATTTTGGGCAGCTTATTCTGGGACTATTCACCCAATTCCAAAAGCAGGAAAACCCAATTTCTCAGCGGCGGACTACTTAATTGCTCCACCTATGGTGAAACAACCACCAGGAAGGCCTAAACGTAAAAGGAT